CTTCAGCTGCCGGTGTTTCCTATGTTTTTTTAGCTGACATTATAATACAGTGACATCTTAAAACGGTCAAGTAATTTGCCGATCGCATCCTTAGTGAGGTCAATTACCCTCTCCACTCTGAACTAATGGCTGCTAAGTCTCCCCGTACTATGCGCCGAGTCTTCCGTCATATGTCTTGCCAGACATCGGCACATCAGCACTCCGTACTCCCATTCCTAGCACGCTACCTCACGTGTGAAGAAGCAGAAATTGAGAAGTTGAAACCCGACCCATCTCCATAAAAGATGTAGATATCGTGTAAACCTGATTGTAAGCCTGGGCGTCAGATCCTTACTCCATCAACAGGCATTTGGATATATCGCCCTGTTACTTTGGCATCCGAACTCGCGACCGACAACCGTGGCTCAATTCCCCTACAAACATGTAACCTGTCACTTCACGGTCACATGCCGCAACTACAGGGACGCGCGTGGACGAAACACGATAAGGCAGCGTGAGAATGGACGTGGCGTGGTCATCGACTAATCACAAGTGCCAATCCCTTCACACCCCCATTTACGCGTAGCTAACTGTTGTTGTTTCTCACTTTCTCTGACGATGGCTTCTCATATGGAGTCTTAAGCTCAGACGAATAAAATTTCCGTTCGAGAGATCGTGTCTTCTTTTTCTTTGTAAATCTTTACTTTTGAGCATTCTACGGCCTTTTACCATGACCCCTTATTTACCTTATCGTTTGTTCTGCGTGAATTGAGCCCTTTTTTGCTGGAAGTTTTTGGGTATTACCTTCAAAAATCAAGTCTTCTCTCTCCCTCTCATACCTTACGCTTGACCTTATACCTTTTCTAAAGTGACTTCAAACTCACTGGCCGCCTTGTCACGGAGCCGAAGGATTGATATCGACGAATTGCCACCGCTCCCCGGCTCCCCGCCTCGTTCAGTCGTTCTTGACCTGAGCAATGTCAGCCAGGCTTCTACTACCGGGACGGTTCGACGCCGGATCCCCTGGACGCTGTCTGAATCCCTCAAACTGTGGCACGGGGCTAGCCGCGTCGACAAACCCTCCTGGAGTCACATTTGGCAAAAGTACTTCAGATCTTCTCGACGGACCCCTGTAGACCTGAAGGATCGTTGGAGGGTGATTTGCCGAAACCAGGATTTGCAGGAGCAGTTACGTCGTGTGTATGAGGGCTGGCGTACTTCGAAAGGAGCCCCCTCCTCCACCTCGGTGGATTTAGGCCCCAACTGATGGACAGTCACGGACTGCTGAATTACAATTGTATAGCTAATATTTGTATGCATTTTTACTGTACTTTTTCTAGTCTCCATTCTTCTTCTTCTTCTGCCTCATCACAGACACTCCTGAAGTGCCTTTTCCCCTACTTACGCAAATATTCGGACCATGAATCATCGTTAAGCCGGTTATGCGGGGCCCGGATCTCTGTGGGGCGGAAGCTCGTCAAAACGGCCATTATTGACACTTTTTAATGTTACTTTATGGTTAGGGAGGTGGCGTTGATTAATTTCCCCTCACGTGAACTCGCTGTATGACCTATTCTCCGTTTCTGAGGTTTCGAAGGGGTCGGGGGAGGGAACCACGCGCGTTTTGTTGGCCTGTTTTGAAATTTCAGACAAGTATCTGGTTACGCTCAAGAATCCCTCGGTGCAGTCAAATTTGCTCTTTATTTAGGTCATAATTATATTTTTGTCTACTTCGCCATACGCCCCAGCCTCTTCCGCCGACATCGCGCGATAGCTGCCCAGAGTACCGTGACAATTCAATAACAATATTCTACCAGCGACTCTCTGTCCTAGCACGATAAACAACCCGAAAAAGCCCCGCATTTCTTTCGTGCCCCAGACGCTGACATTCACTGAAGGATTTTGATTCATAATAATCGCAACCCGGGCTTCTTTCCTACAGATTTGTTCGGGGATTTACCATTTGAAAATGAACTATTGCCTAGCCCCAAGATTTTCTTAAATGAGTGATCTGACGCACCCATTTTCGGCTATGAGGTATAATACACCATAGCATGTACTTATATATTTTTAAAGGTCATTGACAGAATACCTCTCATTGTCTGCAGTGCGTCGTATTCATACTGTACTGTGAGCGTCTTTTTGTAAACTAAAAACCACTGTTATCCCAGACGAATATACCGCCATGCCGACATTGAAGGTGGCTTATTCTGTGCATATTCCCATGTTACACTTGAAAAGGAAGTTGGCAAGCATAGGTTTCGGTTGATTCATTAGCAGACCACTACGACTACATGGAGGATGAATATGTGAGCCATAGACTGCGTTTATGCGTTTCTCTTGTCATCTCAAGTTTGAGAGATATATTAAAGCAGGGCGACATTGTCAACTGAAGGCAAAGATCGCGAGGTTAGCAGAATTTATTGACTTCGTATAATTTCGCGACCTCTTATCCAACTGCACCTAGTGGACACTGGCCATACGGTCGAACAAAAGAGTGCATTTAAGGTCGTATTTCGGGCGACGACCGAGCGTCTCCTACGATTTGCGGAGGCCGCTGCAATACAGAGAAGAAAACCAGAGCTCTGCAAGCAGATGGATCATGTGATCAACCTCGGATTGCCGTGGTAGCGATTGATAAACTCATTCCCTCTCAAGCCTCCTCGCTCCCCTTAGGACTGACCGCTACCTTGTCTTCTGCCCCACCCCTTCCTCCCATTTAACCACGTTCCACCGGCTTTAATGAACATGAACCGCCGTTCTGTGACGACTACCCTCACCCCCCTCTTTTTATCCCCTCACCATATGACCACATCTACAGTAGACTCCCTATCTCATGAAATGTCACCAGGAATTCTGAAACGGGTTTTCGATTCGAACAAATTATTTATGTATGGTTTTAAAAATGACTATCGGACAGCCTCATCTCAATATATTTAGTTCACGTCAGGATGCCGGCTTTTTAACGATATTCTTTCTGACCGCCAAGAAAAAGTATGTGCTATAAAAAGTGACCACTTAAGTAGTATGCCTTTTTGTCATTGATTTTTACTGCCTTTATAAATTAAAATATATTTTATGGAAAAAATGCACGAAAAAATTATTTCTTCTGCTCGTTTGGTAGCAAATTACGCCTTCTTTAACTTTTCTTCTTATAGAAAAGGTATCTTTCAGTTTTAAAAAAATTTCTAAATATGAGCTTTTTATAATTTGCAGGTGTTCATTCATAATTCATCGTATCCGTCGATTTGTTAATGCTGCCTTTACTGTACATAGCATGCTCCATATCTATTGCAACATTTTATGAGAACTATGCGAAATTTTCCTTAAACTGTAGGCGAAAACGCACTTTTCCTTAAACAGGATGTACACAGTGCTCAGTCTGTAAACCTTGAATTCCAGCTTAGCAGTCAGTAGGTTTCAAAATTATTCGGCAATTTAGAAACTTTTCAAAACCGCAAGATACCCTTTCTTTGAGTATAAAATTTAAAGAGGGCGTAATTTTCTACCAAATGAGTACAAGAAATAATTTTTTCGTTTTTGTTTTCCAAAAATATGTTTAAATCTATAAAGGCAGTCAAAATCCATGACAAAAAGGTATACTACTTAAGTGGTCACTTTTTATAGTACATACTTTTTCTTGGCGGTCAGGAAGAAAATCGTTAAAAAGCCGGCGTCCTGAAGTGTCCAAAAATATGTTGAGATTAGGCTGTAAGATTCTCTCTATTACAACAATCCGCAATTAATATGTTCCAATCAAAAACTCATTTCAGAATTCCGGGTGACATTTCATGAGATAGGGAATCTACTGTAAGTCTAATAGCTTCTACTCCCTTTACCTATCAAGTTTCACCCTTCTAGGTCGCCACTTAACTGGGCAGTTACTTTATCCTATTAATAGGCAATGACCGTTTGCAGTTGAATAAGAGTTCGCGAAATTATATGGCGTAAATAAATTCTGCTAATTTCGTGATCTTGGCCTTGTTCAAATTTCTTCCGGTTTCAATTGTCAAATCAATTAAACATGTCAGATGGGAAATGCTCTTTTAGTTGAATCGTCTCTGTTTACCAAGATACCCGCGGTAGGAAGCATAAAATATATCCGAGATATTGTACAAGATATAAACTACCAAATGGGGAAAATACCCTAAAAGAACTATTTACGCGTTTCCCGAACGGTAGTCATTTAAAAAGTCGTGTTGGCATACGATCGTTATCGGTCATTCATCGTCAGGCCAGTACATGACATGGGGAATAAAATTGGTCAA